TATAGTGATGCCTTCCAGAGCAAGAAAATGAAATAATATATTAGTCTCGTTGTTCTATATATATTTTCATTTCAAATGTTAAAATATTTGCACAATATCATGGTAAAATCGACATCGAAATATTGTTTTTCTAAAAATACATAATAAACTAATATACTGTAATATGTTGATATTCAAATATGAGAAGAAAATATATGATATTAATTCACATGTCATCTGGACATGGAATGAGAATATGTGAATTATTCTCTTTCCTAATTTATTTTTTTTTGCTTTATTATTGATATTATATCATTATTTATAATATTATATATCCTTACATGGTTATTACACTTTTGTATAAATAAGTTGCATATTCACAACTCTAATGAACAACTCAATACAACTTAATATGATACAATTGAATTCATCTAAAGATATCTTTCAGGTGTACTCTGATCTTTCAGTTATCTTTCTTATCTTCTCAAAGTTATGTTTTGGGCATACTACTACTTTCTTCAAATTGTCTCTTTTGCCCTCTCAATTCTAACATATTACATTAATACAGGGTAGATCTTATTTAAAAAAGATTGATTCTAACATTGCTTACATAATAGATACTTTGATTATCATATATATACATGTATGATTTGGGGAAATTGCTACCTTATTTACTTATTTTACGGAAGGATATGCATTCCTTACATTAGTGTCTATAGTTGCTATATTTTCGTTTCTTGGAAACCGTCCTTTGCACTCAGATTCCACGGTTTTTGGTCTTAGCTCAATAGAAGGCCGCAGACCTGAACTCTGCAAGACAACCATAAAGTCAAAGGGGGGCAATTGGGGTGCCATTGGCAAAGACTCTCCGAGCTGAAGTCAGTATTTTGTATTTTCCCCTAGTGCAAAGGCCCGCCCTGAACTAGTTCCTTGGCCTTGAACCTGAGATTTTCGTCTTTGACCCGAGACTCGCCGGTCCGAAATCTCACCACTTTATGTATAAAAAATGTAATAATGAAGCTTAAGAGAATGTATTTAACAGAGAGAGTGTATATAAGTAATGAACCTTTACCTCATAATACCTTGTAAACTCAATTTATTGGCAAGTTCTTCACGTGATACCTGTCATCTTGCATGTATTTTGTGATTAACTATGATGTGTCTTACATGCAATTTTTTTTTTTTTTTTTTTAAAGATCGAGGTGCTCGTGTCAGATTACGTGCACCTCAACTAATCTCTCGAGACCTTAAAATTATCGATAATATAAGAGCTCTAATGGCTATCTCTATTAGTAATCGAATAGGGATTTAAACTCAAGATTTCTTGAGTAATACACCCAAAAGTCCCTATCGAACTACTTGTTCACCCAAAGATAGTTATCATACATTCAATTCCTATTGCCTTTTGCAACTGTCTCCCTCGTGAAAGAAAGTTCCCTTTAATAAAATGTCTTACAAGTTATGGACATTTAATTAACAGTGAATATATAATATTCTTAATTTCGATAAGAAATTAATTAAATAGATATGTTTTTTGGTCAATTACCCTTAATTCTTTAGGGGGTGTTTGTCTAAGCTTATAAACTGGTCAAACTAGCTTATAAGCTCTAAAATTAAGCTGACATGTTTGTTTATAACTTTTTTGAACTTATAAGAAAGAAAAAAGTTGGGGGGAGGTACTTTTTTTTTTTTTTTTTCTTATAAGCTAGTTTAACCAAGTATATTACCACATTATCTTTGTTTAATTTTAAAATTCTATAATATACCCTTGTTTAATGTAGTACTATTTTTAGTCATTTTATAATAAAATGTACTTATAAGCCACATTTTACTAAATACGTCAACTATTTATCATTCATTTATAAGTACTTTAATCAAACACGTTATTGCTTAAAATTTCAAATGCTTATAAGTTAAAATTAGCTTATAAGCACTTGTTGCTTATAAGCTAATTTTCATAAGCTTAGACAAACACCCCTTTAGTATATTGATCCTTGAGTTTGAATAAATCATACTATTTATTTGCAATTTTTTCTTTATTATGATCCCCGTGAAATTTATTGGACAAATAAAATTTTCCCACCCTATTTCTCTTTTAACACGTTTGCCACCCCTAGGTTAGGAAACTTTTGATCTATTTATTTAATAATTTGGCAACTTTCGACAGATGAAAGACCAATTTACCCTTATAAATAAAATTAAGTTAACGACATTTTCCCACCCAAATAATAACATAATGACACTTTTCTACCCCACAGACTTTTAAAATACAATTTTATATTCAAATTTATATTCCAATGGTGAGGTGAGAGCAAACTCAATCCAGACTATTAGAGTTTTGAAAAGAGGAGACCGAGAGTCTTTGGTGATGAAATGTTGGATTTGGTGGTTGAAATTGATTGAAATTTCCAATAGGAAAAGGTGGTTACGCAAAGCCTAATCGCCAATTGTCGACGATTGGTGAAGTCGACGGGTAGGGTTTGAGAGTTTGGTGAGTGATAATCGTGAAGAAAATGGTGATGGTATGAGGTTGCAACAATATCGGAATAAAAAACGAAATATAAATTTGGGTAGTAAAGTAGTATTTTAAAAGTTTGTGAGTGAGAAAGTGCATTAAACCATTATTTGGGAGGAAAAAGTTGTTTACTCATTAATCTTAATTACAACACAAATTTTAACAACATGTAACAAAAGCTACTTAGGAGAGATAATTCAGTTTTCTAGGGTCTGATTAGCTCTCTCTCTCTCTCTCTCTCTCTCTCTCTCTCTCTCTCTCTCTCTCTTCCTCTCTCTCTCTCTCATATATATATATATATATATATATATATATATATTTATATATATATATATATTGCTATTTATGTATGTTGTGAGACCGACTGAAAAAACACATAATTTTCTTTATTTTTCCGTTCTATAATTTGAACAAACCTTTTGAGTTAGAGTTATGAATAACGTGAAATCTAGTCATTCTTGTACTAAGATTTCGGTCACAAGATTATCGAAAAATAAGGTATACGTGAAACATTCCAATCAATTTAGTACAAACTTGAAAAGCTTTGAGAATACGAGAAGTTTATGAAATTTTTTTTTTTTTTAAATTCCAATTGCTTTTTATTTTGGTACAACCCATTGATCCGCAATAAGTGACGGCAAAAATGGAGGAGTTGATGGGGAGAACCAACGACTATAAGAGAATCCAATAAGGTCCAAAGCTTAATTAGCCAACCCAAATCCAAAAAATGACACAACTGGGATTCATTATACGACATGTTAACTAACAGAATCAGTTGATTTTTATATATATATTCCTAGAAATGGTGTAGACGTGTCTCATTAATTGAATAATGATAAGCAATTAATGATTTTATAGTTTATATAGTATATGTTTTGGTAGGTGGACAATACTAACTGTCTATCACCAACTTGCTCATCAATGAATTATCATGACTATAATGTCTCTACTGGTTATATGAATAACTTCTTGTTGGCAATTGAAATGTCTTCATTATTTAATTTATGGTTAGATATGCTTGTGTGTGTGTGTATATATATAATATATATTTATGGGTGGTGTATTATTTATTGGTTTTGTTACTGGAAAAAATATGGTGTATTATGCCAGCGATCATCTTTATTATGAACTGTATTCGTTTAGATCCTCGAATGCTTTATTAATTTATTACACTCCTTGAGATATTATCTGAAATGAATCATAGTCATTGTAAGTTGTAATTGTTATAAACCCAAAGACTTTTAATTAATCAAATTTTAAATTTTCGGATTTAATCATTGAGTTAATAGTTGTCTTTCTTTTGAGATGTAATAATGTTTTGGAGCCCTATATATATATTTTTGGATGATTGGGGGTGTTCGGGTCAGTTTACACATACTTCAACTAATCTTCTAAGACCTTGGAACTACCGACCGAGTAAGAACTCCAGTAGTTACCTTTATTAGCAATCGAGGAGGGATTCGAACTTATGACGTTTTGAGTAATACACCTAAGAGTCCATATCGAACTACTCAATCATCTTGAGGTAGTTAAGTCCTACAATTGTGTTAGAGAATGTTTGGGTCATATTCTTCATCGAATTAATTGTATTACAATGGTGTATGACATGAATCAATATTATTTGTCAAAAATTTGAGATATTCAAACTAAAAAGCTAATCTATTAGGTGAAATGATTCAATGTCCTTTCGAACATTTAATTTAATTTGAATTTTCAAATATAACATTTAACGTGTGATTTCTTAACAATTTTTTGAGATCTAAGATTTTTTTTTTTTTTTCACAGGCCAGATAAGAGCCTCAATAGTCACTCTTATTAGTGTTCGGGAGAACTCAAATTCAGGAGCTCATGAAACTCTTTTTACTCTTTTACCATCAGGTCATCTAGTGATGGTTTCTGAGATCCATCTTGTTACAAAATTTAAATTATTCGACATAAAAATCTAATTTATTAAGTGAAATGACTTGTTCCCTAGATTTCAAGATTCAAACATTTGAAACCAAACATTTTATTTTAATTTAATTATTGATGTTAAATAGATCATTTTACTATTTATTCAAAGATCAATAAAAGAAATAAATTATGTCATACACTTTTTTTTGTGCATGTATCGTGCTAATCTTTTCCTATTAAAAAAAGAAATTCTACTACTTGATGTATGGCACTTCTAAATTTAATAGCATTAACAAACAACTTACTTGGCAAATGCATGCTACATGCTAGGCACGCTATGAGAGAGAATGAATTAAATAAGCTATAAAAATACTTTGTTGAAAGAAAGACGTTACTCTAAACAAAAAAATTAAGAACCCAAAACTTATGACAAATCGTTGACCCTCAAATAAAAACTTTATAATAAAATCTAACAAATAATTAAAATCATAATGTATCCACATGTATTTACAATATCTTATCTTTTACTTCAACCCAAATACATCCTCACTCAATTAAAAACTTCACCAATACTCTCTCTCTCTCTCTCTTTCTCTCTCTCACATATCTCTTTCAATATTTCATGTTATAGTTGACTTTCTAAGCCTTCACATCCCCAAATAAAACTTTGTTCTAAATCAATTTCCATGGCTGACCAAACCATTTTTTTGTTTCCATTTCACACTGTTATAGTTTCAAGAGATCATAATGAACAGCACAGATGACACTTCTGGGTTCTTAGCTTCAGGCAATATAGGAGGTTTTGGTTATGGCATCGGAGTTTCAGTCGGAATTCTTCTTCTCATCACAACAATCACTTTAGCATCCTATTTTTGCACCCGGGCTCAGCAAAATAATGGACAGGGTGGGCAGCAGCCGCCGCAGCGGGGCCAAGATCATGACCCTCCAAATGTTGTCATCGACGTAGGCCTCGATGAGGCCACCATTAAGAGTTATCCGAAGTTGCTTTATTCCGAAGCAAAGCTTCAGAAAAATGATTCGACTGCGATGTGTTGCTCGATATGTTTGGCCGATTATAAAAACTCTGATATGCTTAGGCTTTTGCCGGAGTGCAACCATCTGTTTCATGCCAAATGCGTTGATCCATGGTTGAGATTGCATCCAAGTTGTCCTGTGTGTCGAACGTCGCCATTACCAACGCCCCAATCTACGCCTCTAGCTGAAGTTGTTCCGTTGGCGGCAAGCAGGCGAAATTAGTTGAAAATTGTTTTTGTGCATCATTAGCAAAACCATCTTGCTGTATACTGTAAACAGATAGTTAAATTTATAATTTTTTTTCGTTTTTCCTTTTCATGTAGATCCAAATTTTATATGCTAGAACTAATGATATTGATCAGGAAATTATTTATGCTTTAGAATTGAGCTCATAATCTAAGAGCAATCAACATATTCCGAATCCAATGCATTTAGCTTATAGAAGCTAGTTTAATTAGGTGCCTTGAAATTGAATATTCCGGCGACTGTTGCGCGACGAATCTGGTGGAAAAGAAGAAGAAATGATTTGAAGATTGGTTGGATTTGCTTGAACAGGTGACCAAATGTTGCTGCTAATTGGACTTTTTGTTCATTATATACACATTGGGATCTTTATTTTGAACAGTTGAACTTTTTTTGGGTCAAATTGTAGCTATTAACCAACAACAACTTGGAATGAAACAGGATTTTTTAAGTCAAATATTTCAACTGATAACTACTAAGATTAATGAAGGCAATGATGAAATGTAAGACCAATTTTGAAGCAATTTTCCCATGAAAAATATGCAGAAAAAAAACATTGCTTCAAAACAGAGCAAAACAAAACAAGACAACATACTCAAAAAACCAAAGCAATAAATGACAGCATGGGGGTGAGATCTATCTTCAGATTTACTGTTTCATCTGTCTGTAGATGTTTGATATTATGCAATATAATCCAATTTAAGCAAGATAATTGAGAAGGGTTTGTCTTTTTTGGCTTCCACAAGTTGTCAGAAAAAGCCCAAAATAGATCTGAGCCCTAAATTTATAACAGAATGTGCAAAATCTGCAGAAAGGATGGTGATATTTTACTGTTTATTTATCCCCATTTCTCCATTTTATGGCCAACCAAGTGCGCATTTCTCTTTTCATAAAATCTTGGGTGGGTTTTGTTATAAAATTTAGATACAATTTTTCGTTTTTCAAAACAAAAGATAGAAGGAATGATATGAAATTGTGTTAGATTTTTTAATTGTATCATGGGTTTTACAAATCATTTTAAGATCACAAATTAAACAGGCCCTAAATATACCTAAGCCTCCGACACACCGGTTGGCCATAAATCCTAGAAAATATCATTGAACTTACATATTTTTTCATACTTATCTCATCTCACACAGTTAGCAAAAGGTTAATCTATAAACCTTGAACTGCATCAATTAAATGGATGCAGTCTAGGAAATAAATATTTGTGAAAATCTAATGTAGATTATATCTACATAATTAGGTCTAAACTGTTATAATTGTCAAACATACGAACTCATGTATCGATGTCATAGAGGTGTAATCGACCATCACAAAGAAACAAGAAACCAGCCAATTCCAAGAGAAAAGTCATACTCTAAAGTCAAAATCAACATGTAGATTGAGAAAAATCAATTATTCACAACCATTGATGAAGGATTCCTCCAAAAGTTAAGGATTAGTAATCCCTTTTAGAAATCTAATGGATTTAGTTTTATACATACGCGTGAAAGGCAATAAAAAAAGAAAGAAGATTTTGGGTCCATTTAGTTCATTATTCTAATATTTTTTAGAATAATATTTAAAAAAAAAAAGTAAAATTGGGTGATTATTACGAGGTAGGATTTGAAAATTAAAAAAAATATTCTCCTAGGTTTGTTAATTTACTAAACCTTCCTGTAATAAAACATTGAAAATTAACAAAAATACCCCTACCCACCCATTAAATACCGACAGTCGGCCACCACCACCAGAGGGTGGCCGGAGTCACCGTATCGACGCACGATTGGCTGGATCTGGCCAGTCATGCGTCGATATGGCATTTTTCGGCCAGTCCACGCTGGATCTGGTCAAAAAATGTCATATTTACGGCTAGATTAGGCCATTAATGGTCAGATTCGGCCGTGCTTGATCGTCAACGACGGCCAAAGATATGGCTATCATTGATGACTGGCTACGGCCAAATATATGGTCGTTAACGACTAGATCTGTGGTTGTAGATTTGACATTTTTCGGTCAGATCCACGGTGGATCTGGTCGAAAAAAGCTATATCGGCGCACTACTATCCAGATCCAGTCGGTAGTACGTCATTTTACCAGATTTCGGCCACCTTCCAACGGTGGTGGCCGGAATCTGGCAAAATGGCGTACTACCGACTATCGGCACACTACTGTCCAGATCCAGTCGGTAGTACGCCATTTTACCAGATTTTGGCCACCTTCCAACGGTGGTGGCCGGAATCTGGCAAATGTGGATTGGTGGGGTATTTTTGTCAATTTAAAAAAAAATTGAGGGTGTTTAGTTAAATTAACAAACCTAGGGGGTTTAAAATAATTGAATAAAATAAATAATATTTTCATAATAAGGAAACAAATGTGTATTTTGGATATGATAGGGGGGAAATTGTGAGATAAATGCAGCCGATTTTTTTTTTTTCCTTTTATCACTTAGGGTCTACTTGGAGTTTCTTTTCTATTGGTTTTGAGGGGTTTTTAATTAGACTGGTTTTAAGGTGTTCTAAAACCATTACTTGCCAGATTTTTTATGCAATGGTCTTGACTGGCTCAAAAATCCTCCATAACCAATGTAGTGTATTTTTTAGGGGTTTATAAAACCCCCCAAATTGGGGTGTTTTGGTTGGTTTTAAAAAAAAAAATTCTACAGTACCCTATCCACTACAAAACTACCCCAATTATATCCAAAAAAAAAAAAAATTTAATCATGTTTTTCACCTCTCCAACCACATTAAATATAAAATAATTTCAAACAATCATGAAAAAAATTATTAAAATCTCATTTATAAATGCTTTCTTGGAGAAGTGAAGCTACAATTTTTCAATCATTTCAAATGTTGTAAAGAATGGCGAAGAAGGATAAAGAGACTATCAAATTTGAAGTTATAAAGTACTAATAAGTAGAAAACAAATAAAGAACTCATACCTTCTAATTGAAAAAAACAAAACTAGTACTGGTTGAAGTTGGGGTATTTTTATGGGCATATATGAAAATTTATCATTTTAAAAAACTGTCAGAACCGCTGAAAAATAAACTCTTAAGCACAGGTTGGGTATTTTAAAAACTGCTACTAAAAACCCCTCAAAACTGCTACGATGGTTTACCCTCAAAACCGTTATAGTGGTTTACCCTTAAAACTGCTACAGTATTTTACCCTCATAACCGCTACCATGAAACTCCCAAGCAGACCCTTAGAAACCGTACGAGATGAAAGTTTCATGCACAGTTTCAAAAAAAAGGAAAAAAAAAATGAAAAATCATCTTTTCAACTCTAAACTCTTTTTTTTTTTTTTTTTATGGCCGTGTGTGTCTGAGCCAGTTTACGCGTACTTCACCTAATCTTGCAAGACTCTGGAACCACCAGCTAGGAAAGAGCTCTAGTGGCAACCCCTATTAGCAAGTGAGGAGTGAGTCGAACTCAATACCTCTTCAATAATATACCCAAAAGTCTCTATCGAACCAATCAACTACCCAGATGTTGGTTATTCAACTCTAAACTCTCTCACTCCGGTCATTACTTTTCTTTTTGTTAATTCGAAAGTAGCTGTCTATGTTCAACACAACATTCTTTTGTTATCGCAAGCGGCTAAATTATATTAGCAATAAGTAGCAGCAAAGTTTTAACCTAGTATCCTAGCCCAACTAATGGCTGTGTGGGGTGTCTAATAATTGTCTGACCAAAACAAAAACAACTACTTGTTTTCTAATCTTTGTTCACCAACTCAAAGACACATTATTAATATATGCATTTTTTTTTTTTTTAATAAAATACACCCATCTTCAGTAATCTAAGGAGGATGATCAGTTTTCAATTTAAACTTTGACCCCATCTAATTGATTATGATTTATTTAATTAATGAGGGATTAATGGAGTAGTTACACTTTAGTCTTTGTTCCTCTTGCTTCCAAAATATTTTAAGATTTCGTGGGATTTCAATAATTATGACTTAATTAAAAAGGAGGTTACATGGTCAAAGTATTGTTATCCAAATCTTATTTAATTTAGACAAAAAGAAAGATTCAAAGAACAACATGTTTACACAAAAATAAAATAGATTTAGCTTAACTTTCACCCTATGATGATCCAATAAGAATTAATAAAACAATTCATTTGAACCTTCTTATGATCTCTTGCTTTCTTGAACCACCCCTGGGTGGTTGACTGGTGTGATAAGGACTCTTGGATGTGTATTACTTAAACGTTCTTAAGTTTGATTTCTCTCGGTTGCTAATAGGGATGGTCATTAGAAGTTTACCCGATCGTTAACTTCAAGGTCCCAGTGAATTAGTTAAAGTGCACACAAGCTGGCTCAAACACCCTGGTTATCAAAAAAAAAAAAAAAAAAAAATCTCTTGCTTTCAAAAATAGATTAAAATATCTTTTCAAAATTTATCATAATAAAATTCATCCAACATTTCTTTACTCATCAATAACAAAGGTATTAAGCGTAACAAAAATTTCATTTTTGGAATGGATTTGGGGAAGATACTAAACGTTTTGAAAAAACAGCGTGTGCTTTGAAAGAAGGAGTTTGATATCGAGCTATCTTATTGGAAATATCGAGAGTATTTTAAATACTCAAAAGTTCTATATTTATAGTAAATTTTCAGAAACCGTTCTAATTTTAGCAAAAGTCTGATATATAACTCATCTTTTGGTCTTCGACCCCCTAGGCCGGAAGAGAAACTTTATAAAAATCGTATCGGTTCTTATTAAAGAGAGCAGGATCAACAAAGCTCTAATATCCCAAATAAAACGTGAGCAAGATCTTAAAGGATTAAATAAAATTTGTTTGAAAAAATTAATTCCTCTCAATCTTTTATGAAGCAATTGCTTATTGTGTTACATAAATAAGATTGCAAACTCATAATAATAGGAGGGTGTGCTTTAGTCCTTGATGGTGATCGAAAGGTGATTTATTAGTTTTTTTATGAATCAAAGGGATGAGCTCACGCATTTAAAAATACATCTAAGTGCACCATAACATTTTAGCCATATTTCAGCTAATGCAAGAAAAGTATCTTAGAAAAACAAAAGTATATGCTAAGTTTTAATTATTATTATTATTATTATTACATGATTGGAGTGTCCGGATCAGTTTATACATATATCAATTAATTTCTCAGGATCCTAAAACTATTGATGAAGTAAAAACTCCAGTTATTACTCTTATTAACACCTGAGGAGTGACTCAAATTTAAGACCATTTTAATTAAGTGGTTAATTTACTTATATAATTTTTCAATTCATCCTTTTTATAATTTGTTATTAGAAAAAATAAAAATGAAAGGAAAATGAAAAAATAAATTTCATTCTACAAATTATCGTAATTAAAAAATAATTCATGTTTTGAAAATTATATATATCAAATGGATTGTAAAACGTCTCCAAACAAAGATAAAGAAATATGTTTAATTTAATTTTAAGATTTTTCTGATTTTGTCTAGGTAAAGAAGGTACCTTTAATTTACACATAATTTCACATATGGTAATTTATTTTTTACTATGTATTTTTTTATTAATTATCAACCACATAATATCACATAATAGGAAATTATCTTCATCCTTTTGTGCTAAATTATATGTAATTACACATGAAAATTTTAAATTTATAATATTTTATTAAAATTGTATCTAGAATGTGAAGGATTTAATATTAATGTGATCTCAAATAACAAAAACTCCTAGGAAATTTCTCAGCCCTTACAAAGATAAAATAATGAATATGGAAAGTTATAATATGCTATCCGAAAATGTGAAATATAAAATTTTTAAAGACACATAAAATTCTTTATAAACGAAATAAAATAAAATAAAAGCCAAAATAAATAGACAACAATGAATATAAACCAAAATTAGGGCAATTAAAGAAGACAATATATATAACCAACTAACCCGTTCACCTAACGGTCTATGCCAAGCCAAACCCAACTACCAATCATAGAGGACTAAATCGTCTGTATCCAGCTCACCAACTAACTTATTCCCATCGTTCGANTCAAATAACAAAAACTCCTAGGAAATTTCTCAGCCCTTACAAAGATAAAATAATGAATATGGAAACTTATAATATGCTATCCGAAAATGTGAAATATAAAATTTTTAAAGACACATAAAATTCTTTATAAACGAAATAAAATAAAGTAAAAGCCAAAATAAATAGACAAAAATGAATATAAACCAAAATTAGGGTAATTAAAGAAGACAATATATATAACCAACAAACCTGTTCACCTAACGGTCTATGCCAAGCCAAACCCAACTACCAATCATAGAGGACTAAATCGTCTGTATCCAGCTCACCAACTAACTAATTCCTATCGTTCGATTCCGCAAACGAGTCACATCAACGGTGGAGATGGCATACAGTTTCGACAGTAGATACACCGCCTCGGACTCGAATGCCCGAGCCTTCTTTTATCTCCTTCATATGTTGAAAAACTGAACTCGCTCCCTTAAAGAAATTAAAAAAAAGGAAAAAAAAAATCGTAAAATCAAAACCCTAAATCGGAGTAATTTTTGTGAATCGATCATGGAGACGATGATCAATTTCAAGCTGATGATCGTACTTTCGCTTTGTTTGGTTGTACGGTTGACTCAAGCGAAGGACATTCAGTACTGCGGTATTTTTCTCTAAATTTTCTTTGATTCTTGTATTATATATTGCTTCATGTAATTAATTCAATTTTTCGTTTAGAATATTTGAATTAGGTTCCTTATTATGAGAGATTGTTCATTTTGTTTTGTTTCGTTTTCATAATTTGGAGATATGTGATGATTTTGAAACCAGAAGCGCTTTTGAATAGCTGAAAGTAGGTCTTGTTCAATTGTTTAGTGTTTGGATGAAACAGATGAAAGTTCTTTTTTAAAATCAAATCGATAAATTAAGTAATTGAGGTGTATTTTGAGAAGCACTTACTGAATTATGTATTGTAATGTAAATTATGTTGCTTTGGTGAAGATAATAAAATATAATTATGGTAATTTAATCAGAAAAGCTTATCAATAATTAATTTTTGAATAACATTTGATATTTTAATTGGCTGTTATTGAAATTTTCATTTGATAAGTTCCTGTTTCAATCACCCTTAGAAAGTGTTTTTAAACAACCTCAAATGCACTCATCATGTCAAAAGCTTCAGTAAAAGAAACTCTTTATTTAGGGATTTTCTCGTTGTAATTGTTATTTTTGTTGCCAGTACAATTTATTTGGAGCTGATGAATTGATCGGTCTCTTTGTGATTGTAGATAAGAAGGCTCAGTATGGTGTAGAAGTCAAAGGAGTTGAGATATCTCCTGATCCGGTGGCAAGAGGCAAGACAGCTACCTTCAGCATTGCTGCTGCTACAGGTTATCTAATTTTCATTTTCGTTCTTTGATTCTTACTTCTTTTGATTAATTGCTTATTCTTACATTTAGTGATTCGATTAATAAGAATTTTATCATCTTTGTTATATATGAATATGCAGCATTGGCTTACCATGCATCTTGTAGTGTTGACTCTTGAAGAAACTATTTTCAAGTTTATTTGGTGTTGAAATTTCCTTTTGATGTTTGTTAAAGTAAATAATCTTTGTATGCAATCAAGAAAAATATACATGTATGGCAGTGCCAAAGGAAAAAATTGTGTGACATCTTGACTTTGTCACATTGTTTTAGCAGTTTATATGATTTATGTAGTTTCTTTATATATATGCTGGGCTCACATTCTTCAGATATGAAGAATTGATACCATTTGGTGCAGCCTTTTTGATTCTTCGTCATTTGAAGGATTTTGCCTGCATACAAGGGGCTCAGGAAATATTCTCTCCATTTCTTTGTTATTAATTGTGCTTTTATGTGTTTTTTGTGTTTATGTGCACATAACAAAGAGGAAGCTAGCAGCTTCTTTTTTTATCTTCAAAATTTTTGGGGCCTTCTGTTGAGAGCTAGCTGTTACATTAAATTTCAATTACTTTTTTTGTGCCAACAAGACTGCCTTGTATATTTTTATACAGATAAAGCAATCTCTGGAGGAAAACTGGTGATTGATGTTTCATACTTCGGATGGCACATCCATAGTGAGACACATGATCTTTGTGATGAGACTTCCTGCCCTGTATCAATTGGCGATTTTGTGGTTGCTCACTCACAAGTTTTACCTGGCTTTACTCCACCTGTAAGTCAGAATCCCGTATGGTTACTGATTAAATTTTTACTATGGAAACGGTCTTTTTTTTTAAAATAAAACAAATAACTTTTAAAGTTTAGAGCATATGAATCTGAAGACCATTTTCGAATGGATTGGTCCAATTACTATGATCCGAGTTCTATTATGAAAACTGAACAGTCACTGCTAATTTTTTGGCAATAATTCAGCTTTAGTTCTTTTTTTCAATTCCTATAAAAAGCTCGCTCTGGTAACCAAAAGATCACATGTTCGATTTGATGCAAGCCTTGCAATAATTTTGCCAAACAGGACCATGTTCCTTTTGACCTTGCACTTGTCTTTCACTTTATGAGAAAGTACTTTATAATCTCTGTCAATCTGTCCCTAGTCTTTCTTATGGATGCTACATCTTAAGTCTACTTTTTCTAAGTTTGCATCTCACCAGCAATAATTCATGACTAGATTTCTCTACTGGACACATTTCTTCTCCAGAAATGTAGCTACCTTTGATCATTGTTCCCACACAAATTTGGTGGGTAATTTTCTTTTGAACTAAATATTCTTGCTTTTTACAAAATACTCTTGAAAGAAAAAGGGAAGAGAAGGGAATAGAAATCCAAATTCGCGTAAGGTTTTAGTGCAACTGATAAGACTTATCCCATTTTTGCCTCATTTCTTTTTTGTTGTCTTCTTGCCCTTGTTTTCTTGTTTCATTTGGCCATTTTTTATCGTTTTGTTCAATTCTCAATATAACCATATGGGACCAATTGCTTGATTTAGATGTGATATAATGTGGTGATGTTGATTTTGTCAAGCAAAGAGAAGAAAAAGTTAGTAGCAAATTATCTGCCTTAATAATTCCATCATTATTTGGTTATGTAGGGCTCATATTCTCTGAAGATGAAAATGTACGACGGAAACAAGAATGAGCTAACATGCATTGCCTTTGATTTTGACATTGGATTTGCGTCTTCTGTGGCCGATAGTTAAGTGCTCCAAAGGTTTCTTTGCTCCGTTCCTGTTTATCTGGCTGCATATAAAGTTAGCGTGTAAAAAGAAGTTACTCTTCAAACTTAGCTCCTGGAATTTACTTTACTGGAATGTTCATTATCATGCTATATGTGCCTCCTCTCTCGACATTAATGAATATTATGTAATGTGTAACATTTACCAAAAACTTAAAGATTGAAAGAACTTCAGTTTAGAAAATTAAGAATTTCCATTGTGTTTCCTATTTTACAGTGAGTTGCATATCATTTTATTTTCAAGGAGAATGCTTTTTCGAAAGCGAATGACTTGTGAAGGCAAAAGAAACAGAATGATCTACCTTTGAACTGTTAATCCATACGTTAGAATATGATTGTAGTTGTGCAAAATTAATAAACATATCAAAAATCAATTGGAGAGATGATTGGGATGGAGGATTTGATTAGTTTAAGTTTACGTGTCTTGATTGAACATATTATACTTGGATAATGAAAAAAAAAATCATTTTAGGTCGTTATATAATTGATTTTCACTGTATAAAATTCTAGCGAATATGATGGTTTTGGTCAAAAAAAAAAAAAAAAAAAAAAAAAAAAACAGATATTTATTGATTATATTATTGGGAAGATGAAAATGGGTAATAAATAAGAAAATATGAACCACTTGGTTTGTAGTTGGATGGCAAGACTTTAGTCATCCGGATAAATTACCTTAAAAAGTCTTGTGTTTAAATCCTATAAAGTTATCACCTATCATTCATTGGACTTGTAAGGTGTTTAATAAATCCCGAAGACCAGACGCGTAACCACATTGAGACTTGTGGGTTCAATTGAACCCACTCAACTTTTAAAAAGTTTCAAAAAGTATTAATGTTTTATGAATTTTATAATTTTAACCCTATTTAATTTCATGTGTGACCTCACAAAATGAATTATTAATTAACACATTTTTAATTTTTCTCTTTTCTTCATTTTCTCTCCTTTTCTCTCAAATTATATTTTTCATTTGGTTTGATAATAAAAAAAGACTACTCATCTGGATTACAAGGTAAAATCATACTCATTTTATTTTATGTTTTTTACTTAAATTTTTTTTCTTTTAGCTTTCTTAATTGATGAAAGATCATGAGCTATGAGTTTTTGTTGAGTTTAATAAATAGGTTTGAAATTGCAAGATTAAATTACTATATTTTGATATGGGTTTTGATATAATCTTGTTTATGTTGATGTATGGGTTAATTAATTATTGTTTTAAGTTGGGTTTGATAAATTTTTGTTAGTTATTGAGTTAATTTTGAATAGAATTGATGCAACTCTAAGTTGTAGAGATTTAGGAATTATGCAACATTTTCAAAATATGAAAAATCGTCGAGGGCAATTGTAAAATTGATAATTTGGTATATATAACTTTTAAAAGTATATTTTTTATGCTTATTACTTCAACATATATTTTATTATAAATTTACCAATTTTGATGTTTTGAACAATGTTTTAAAAGAGAGCCTGGCCCTGCCGATCGAAACTATTCGATTGGGACCCGACTAGTGTGCCGGGCTGGTTGAGGCTAAAACCGCCATTTTACAACTGCACCCTTACACCCGCCGCGCGCAAAAATAAAAAAACACAATTTTTACGCCATTCCTTGCACTTTTAGTCTGAAAATCTTCCACCGTCAATTTCCTCTCCTCACCATGAAGGCGTGAACTTCCTCCTCTTTGTCGTCAGCTAGTACCGAGACTCTCCTCCTCCCATTTTGTGATCTCCTCTCTTTAGTCTTCACTGCCGATCTGGTCTGTTCATCGTCGATCTAGTTTGTTCACCATTGATTTCCTCCTCTTCGTCGTCAGTTGTAGCTCATCTTGCCCAGGAACTATCGTCTCTTCCTCCCATTTGCGCGATCTCGTCTCTTCACCATCAAGGTCCACCTCTCTGATGTTAATGGCAGCTCATCTTCGCCAGGTAATGTCGTCACTCGTTAGTGCTTCCTTTGTTCTCTACTCCCTTTTTACTTTAATTCATTTTACTTTTATTCAGTTATATTTGAAGCAAGGCATTGAAGGATTTCAATATCTGAGAATTTCGTGACAAATGTGGTTCCAGGTTTCCTTTTTCAAAAGTAATTGTTATGTTGAAAAACTACTTTTGGATTTGGTTATTATTTATTTATTTATTTTGTAATGTATTATACCCAAACCTTACACTTTTGCATGACTCTAGATAATGTCAAGCAAGCATCTCATGCTTCTTGTGTTATTCTCCCCATGGCAAGTGTCCAGTAATATATTGAGTTAGAAAAATTAACTTTAAGAACAGTTATTTCTTTTGGCAAGTTATGTTAGGTGCTTAGTTGAATCAGTTGGCCTACTAAGATGATGAGTGAAAGGCAAAAACACTGTTCAGTGTAGAGATTTTTCATCTAGTTGTGGAGACGATTGATGGTACCTTGATGGAATTTGATTTAATGTTGAGATTGTGAGAGAAATGTTTCAATTCTTTGTGTTAGAATCATATAATTGGTTCTATCTCAATGTTTCATGTTTGTCAAGTGGACATCTTGAAGTTCAAATTTCTTATGTTTACACAATACACACACATGTCATGCATGGATGTTTAATTTAACTTATGAAGATATGTTCTTCTCTTATGCAGATGATTCATATAAATTCAGTAATAAAATATTGGGATTTTTGGTTTGTTATATTGTTCGATTATGATCGATACTAACTTATTTGTGTTGCCAGGGTAGAGATGTAATAGCCACTACTACTCAAAAACTTATAATGAAATACATACAAAATAAAATAAAGAAATTGGGCCCAAAATTTTCTTTTATTAAACATATATACATACTCTTTACAAACATACACATTTTTACACAAAATGTATAACATATACAAAAGTCATCAAAAACATAAGGGACAGTGTAACCGCTTCTTCTCGAACGCCGACATCCATCCGACAGTGTCCTCACCTAGGTCCTGCAAAACATAGGAAAACAACGGGGTGAGCACTAAAATAATGCTCAGTAAGTAAATCCTCTACTCATGCTAGCCCCGTAACTCTCTTTCTCTAATTCTTTCCTTACAACTCCTCATTCAATTTCTCTTTGGGTACTTCTCTCTTTATCGCTTTTCTTTCTCTTAGAACTCTTTTCTATTGCCCTCTCTTTAGTAAATCACGACCCCATCTTATCGGGGGCACGGCCGGGACTCTCCCCACTCTACGTGATCTCTATTCATCCTACCGTCGGACTCGGTTATGTATGGATTCGGACCCTTGGCCATGTGAGTATAATCTCTCTCTCGGTACTCGGTATATGCCCTCATTCGCATGTACTCTCACGGGCTACACCACTTCTCTATCTCTACTCAGGCCGCTCTCTCAATGTGGCGTACATGCGGGAATACTCTACACACCATTACTCACGGTTCCCCATCGCACAACCTACTCTATTCTCTTCTCTTAACTATGAACTAAAAAGAAGTAAAGTGTAGAGAAAGCCTTTATTCATTTCATTCCCCCGCCTCTTCCATTTGCCCATTTTCCCTCAATTTCTCCATCCAATCTTCCAAGTTTTCTAAGGGATTTAAGAGGGGTTTGAGTAGATATTTCATCTAAAGCATCCTAAGGTAAGGATTCATGCTTTAGATGTGAATTTTCTTCTAATATAGTGAAGTCTTATGTGTTTGTTGCTGTCCTTGTGGTTGTTTTGAGTTGTAGAGAAGAGACAAGACCACAAAGGGAAGGAAAATGCTAAAGAAGTCATCTTTGCACAAGGTAAGTAAATCCAACCAACTTGAGTTTTAAACAAGCTTTTTGTGTAGAGATGTATGCATGATCAGTATGTAGTATGATTAATGAGAAAATTGATTGAGATGAGTAGCTATTTTTGTAGTTGTTGGATAGATTCCATGTATGAGAAGGTTTTTGTGTATGAGAATGGAATTTGAGATGAAGTTTGAGAGATGTTGTGTGAAGCTTTTTGGAGTGCTTTTCTTGACAGGGATTATGAGTATTTGAGGGAGTTTTTTCCCCATTTGGATGGCCAGAGAATGAAGTATAGTATTACTTTTAGTAGAGTATTTATAGCACATGGTTGCTTGAGGAAATGCCTAGAGAAATCTGCCCTTCACTCCTGCCGGACTTTAAGTAATTTTTGGGCATCTTACGGTTTGAACTGGCTGAGACCAAAACAGAAAAGTTGTAGCCCTGTTTCTAAGCTTTAAAACGAGACCAAAACCGTAGTAATCCGAGGTGTATAACGCAAGTTAGGGCCGTTTTAGTGTGACCTGTGCAGAATGGCGGTTTTGAGGAAATTTTGTAGTTGGCATTTCATTAGTGCATTAGGGAGCATGAGCTAGCTCTACACTTTTGTTTATACACTTGAGAAGTAGCTTGAGATTTAGTAGAATTTGAGTACTGCCTCAAGACAAGAGCGAAGGGCCGGTACCTCAGCCAGTACAGACTCGCGTGATCCGATTCAGGGCTTGTAAATCAGCACCAGCCGCCAGCATTTAAAGGTTCAAGGGACCCCTAGAGGCGGAGAGTTGTTTAAGTCCTAGAGGGACGGCGGCATTGTTCCCCTGAATGATAGAGGAGGATTAGATATGCTAGTTTCTTGTTTAAGAAAGATGCCCGGATATGTGGTGGAATTAATGGAGGAGACCCATGACATAGCCTCGATGACTTGGGAGGAATTCAGAAGGTTGTTTGAGGCCGAGTACCGAACAGAAGAGTAGTGCATAAAGTCCAGAGTTTATTCACTTGAAGCAGGGGACTAGTACGGTGAAGATTCCGTAAGATTCAACTCCCTTGCTCGTTTTGCACCCGGAATAGTGTATACACCGGAATTAAGGAGAGACAAGTTTGTGCAAGGGTTGAGGTCAGATATCCTCGAGATGTATGACAGGAGCTGAGCCCCCTCAACCTACAGTAAGCTCTAGCACGGGCTTTAAGGGCAGAGATTTATGTGAACAAATATATTGCAGAAGGGTTGGCTTTGACAGTACCTAGTGAGCCATCCACCATCTTACAGAGGGAAAGTAGATGTCCACAAGAACAGAGAAGTAAAGGCCAAGAAGAAGTTTCGCCAAGGAAGAATAGGAAGATCGGCAGTACAAGCGGCCCGAACAGAAGTTTTCCCCTTGTGCTAAGTGGGGAGAACCATCCAGGAGTGTTTGAGGGATCAAAATGTGTGCTACAGGTGCCGACAGCCAGGGCAATGTGG